TGCTGTCCCTCAGCTCTTCAGCTCAAGGCTAGCACTCTACCACTTGAGCCACAGCACCACTTCTGGCTTTGTTCTTTTTGCTTATGTGGTGCTGAGGAATCGAACCCAGGGCTTCAGGCATGCAAGGCAAGCACTCTACCACTGAGCCACCTTCCCAGCCCCTAGATGTATTATTTGACTAGATTAATGTCTCACTTGATTTGACAGTTGTGTTAAGATTGCTGTAGGAAAGATTTCCTCCTTCCTTCTTGATGCCTCTGTGGGTGATCTAAGTGGATCTAGGTGTGAACTGCTCTTGGGCTGCTCTGAATCTTGGAATCCTACTGTGAAAAGTGATTTGTACCCTGGTTTAGATCACAGCTGGAATTATGGTATTTCTATCTATAGAATAACAATAAGTGAATGGTTAATAAATCATGTTTAATAAGCCTCTCAGAGCAATGGAAGACATTGGTTCTAAAATCTATGACCGCACTGGGGAGGCAACTCAGGGGTAAAAGCATCTGCTCTAGTTGAATCTCCAGAACTACAAATGAATAAGAAAAATCAAATTCTAGACAATACTAGAAACCAGGGTACACTCTTCACGTTTCCTACCTAGATGTCATACTTCTTAAATCTGAGCGATAAATCTGTATATACCTTTGTAAAAAAGTTCCCAAATGTCTATATACCTTACTGTATTTCATAAGGATCATTTAATATGTATTTTAAAATATAGAAACATGAAAGTAAATATATTTTCCTCTCCTCAGTCGCTGTGGGCCTGGTCTAAACAGGATATTGGTACTGACCCAAGGCCATTCTCTCATCTGGTTTCAATCCACTGTTTGAGTGCAGTATTTTAAAAAGTTATTTTATGTATTTCTTTTGTTGGAAGTAGATGGTGGACTTAGGGTTTAGAGCAGTTAAGTGAAAGCTAACTCTGGCTGGAGTAGGTTTGATGAAGAGTTAGTCAATTTACTCACTTAACAAATATTCATTGACAGCACATTCTATGTTTGACACTATTCTAAGGGCTAACTGTAACTTGAGAAACCATAGGAAAAATCTCTTGCCTTGGGAACTTATATTCTTGTGAGGAAAGAGATGATAAACAAATAAGTGAACTTGTGTAGAACAAAGCATCACAGAATGGGAAAGGACGTGTATTTACACGGGGTAGCTGGGAGGACAGTTGTTGGTGTTAAGCCAGGTATAATGACACGGGGCATTTGCTAAGCCCTGGCTTCGGCTTGTGAGAGTTCACTATAGCAGTAGTAGTGTCTGATTCATGGGGGAAAAGAGATTGGAGGAAGTAGGATTTCAGTGGTTTCAATATCAGAAGCCTATTGGGAACAATTCTTTTAGATCGATAGTTTTGTCATTATAGAAGGAAGCAGAGAAATGGGAGGTAAGGAAACAGAGGAACAGAAGCCAAAGGAAAGTTTTCATAATAAGAAAGTTGAATATACATATCACCCGATGTGGAAGAAATAACTGTATTGTCAAAGCTCATAGAACTCATAAAATTTATAGACTACGATAGACAATTTGCCCCATGAAAGTTAGAATGTGTTTGTGACTTTAACTAAGCATTCACTATCCCACAATACTGTGACATTTGTGAAATTATGCAATCACTTAATTACAATAAAGAATTTTCAAAAAAAAAAGAAAGTTGACCCATAAATTACAAGTAAATACACGGGGTGGTATACAAGTGGTTGCAAATGAATTAACTGATGTATGATAGACTCCATGGAGAAAGACTAGGTCAAAGCCCAACAAAAGCATCACCAGGAAATGGTGACAGTCCTCTGAAGGAGAGGAGGGCCAGGAGGAGCGGGGTAGATGATTGAAGGAAGGAAGAGGGAGAATGTAGTTGAGAATTCATTGCGTATAGTAAGGAAAGATATTTGTGAATCTCAAAGTAGGTCAGCCAACAATGATTTGATGGTATACATTAAGGTTACTACTGTGCAGTTATGTAACTTTGATCATGCTACTTCATTCCTCTGTATCTAAAGTTTCTCCTCTATCAAATGAAATATGGATATTTTCTACTTTACAATGTTACTAAGCAAGTAAGTCTCATCATAATTTCCCAACCAGTGTTCAGTATTACAGTTAAACAACACAGAGAATCTGTGAGAGGGGGAAAAAAGGAAGTCCATAAGTTCATATCAACCAAATTTGCTAATGGAAAAAAAGGTGGTGTTGGATTGTGAGAAAAAAATTGGAACCAAATATTCACAAGCCAAGTCTCTGAATAAAGGGGAGAGGGATTCAAATTCAAATGTAATATAGAGTTATGGGCATCTTTTTCAAGAGAGATTAAAGATACAAAGGACAGTGTGGTAAATGTGTGTATTCAAACTTGTGAATGTAGAGTGCAGATTCCTAGCATTGCAGAAACTATGTTTTCAGGGAGAGGTTGCAGGAAACTGTCATGCGGGGGGGGGGGGGAAATGGCAAGACCAGCCTCATCCGGGTACTGATGGATTTGCTGATGGGCAGGTAGACACACACCCATCAAAGGAAAGTTGCCAAGTGGGCTTTCTTCTTATTGTTTTGTGGGTGGGGACCTAATTTAGGAAATGGTGATCTTGTGCCTAAGACTCACGGCTAATAAACGGCAGTGTGCTAACCCTACACACTCATTCTGTATTCCTAGGAATGAGGAAGGAAAGGCAAGAATCATCAGCCTATGATTCTTTACACATCGGCTTCAGATGACCAGTGATTTCTCCGGTTTGGCACTCCACTTACTAGGACACGATAAGGTGAGAGGCTAAGCTGGCTGCTCTAGAACACTACTCGTGGAGGTTTATTAAATCCCTCCCAGAGGAATCACACATGTCTTTAGCGAGGTGTTTCCTGTAGTCTCGGTGTGTTGCCTGTATTCTGTTTCTGTGTTTCCAATTGGGACAAGTGCAACGTGTGCCACATGCATCGGATGGACTTGAGCACCACCTACATTCAAATCCCTGTGGCACCGGCTGGCACTGGGCGCTGGGAGGACAGGGGCTGAGCTCACACCAGCGGACTTCCTCACAGGCTTTCCCGGCCGTGTGCGCGGGGCAGGAGCAGGAGAAATCATCCCACAGGGAATAGCAGGCCCCGCCATGACGGCAGGGGTTAGACTGGGTGGAAAAGACATCACAGGAAACATTAAAGGTGAGTGCACACACACACACACACACACACACACACACACACAACTACATATTATATATATCACAATCTATGTATCCCATTAAAATGCCAATTTCCCTACCTGGTAATCGTGAAACATACATTATTAATACTGTAGCAAAAACCTATTACCATAGCTAGTGACTGTCCAAAAGAGTAGTAGGGAGGAGAGGGATGGAGAGAGGACCAGGAAATAGAAAGGAGCAGAGAGACAGGATGAGAGAGAAGAAATAAAATCAACTCTTACGTGAGGAGGGATTTTAAAGGACAGTGAAGCCCTGAGTAAATTGTGAATTACCAGGCATGCTTGCGCCAGCACTATTGGTGCTGTCTTTGCAGATAAGGAAGCTGAGGTCTTCCTCTATTATCTGTCTTTCTAATTACTTATTTACTTGTGTGTTTGCTTTTCTGAGATGTAAACACAAGGCCTCCTGTGTGATAAACACACACATGTTAAACAAACCACAAAGCTACACAGCCAGCCAATTATCTGACTTTTGGAAACTTCTGTTAACAGTGCATATGGGGATAAAAATGCCCATTTCATACATTAGTCCTTCCGCAGAATTGCATGGAAAAGTCCAATGGAAGTATTCCTTTGATAAAGCTACAAGGATTCATTTGTGGATGTTTAGAGCTCAGCCTGGTATAGGGCCATCGGAGCTCAACAAACATTCAACACAGATTAAATGATTTCCTTCTTTTCCTCCAAAAGCTCACCTAGAGATAACAACTTCATATATTTAAAACAGCTCACAAAGGAAGGGGTAACAATGCTCGATAGGAAATGTACTCAGTACCTTATTTATGTATCTGTAGCCCCTCTGAACAGTATCTTTACAATAAAAATATTTTTTAAAAAGTGGGTAAAAGAAAACATGGGCCCTGCGAAGTTATATTTCAGTGGACTGCAAATCCAACCAGCAAAAAGAAGCTAACCTCTCACTCATGATTTTCATGTTGACTGAATAAAAGTTTAAAATCTATAGCTGAACATTTAAGTTCAAGTTAGCGATAGAAAAGGTGACAGTGACCAAAATGCACTGTAGTCATAAACAGATCTGAGGACACTCCTTTGTAACAAGTTCTTAAAACAGTTAGAAATCGATTTTTTTTGGGGGGGGGTTGGTCATGGGGCCTGAACTCTGGGCCTGGGCACTGTCCCTCAGCTCTTCAGCTCAAGACTAGCGCTCTACCACCTGAGCCACAGCACCACTTCTGGCTTTTTCTGCTTATGTGGTGCTGAGAAATTGAACCGAGGGCCTTATGCATGCAAGGCAAGCACTGTACCACTGAGCCACCTTCCCAGCCCCTAGAAATCGATTTGTTTAAAAAGCTAATGAGATCTTCTAAGAAGAGTTCAGCTAAACCTCCAGAATGCCATTCAAGGTTTAGAAATGAAAACAATGTCGCTCTTGGATATTTTGATTGCTGTTTGTGGTGTGAAGGGAGGGAGGCATCAAATGAGTTAATTTGCTTGTTTGACACACCATAAGACAAGACAATATTTTATGGCTTACTGTAAATTCCCTAGACTTGCTGAAAAACACTATTGGGTGATAGATGGATCAGGAACACTGTCTTCATATATACAGATGATTTTAATCAATTACTTACCTTAAAAAATAAATATGAGGCCATGGTGTGTACCGAGTAGACACAAACAACCCTACCTTGCAGGCATTGTCTCCAGGACAGCCTTGGGTCACATTAACAAGAGACGGATGATGGGACACACCAGTTGTTGAGTTGGGGAAGAATTCCAGCTTTTGGTTGTTGAGTCTTATATCCTGGATACAACCTTTGAAGAATCCGCCATGAACTTCAGTCTCCTGCCTGTCAGGCAGGCCGCCGACATAGAGCATGTCTCCTTCCTGGACTGTCCATGTAGGAGCAGAAATAAATCCCAGGCTTTGTGAAGACTGATACAGTTCTATTCCATTTGGCGTGATTGTCAATGATACAAAATGGACATTTCCATCACTCAGAACAACTTTTACTACTAATTTGGGAGATCCGGGAGTCAGCAATGCTAGTCTTCCCTGCTCCAACCAGAGGCGGACATATTGAAAAGTGCTGTTTTCCAAAGCTAGAAGTAAGCCTGATGTTTGGTGTGTGCGGATGAACATGGAGATGCTGAAGTTTTGTCCATAACTCTCATCAAGATGAAAGACAGCGTACCCAGTGGTGTCTTCCTGGCCAAATCTGCCTGCCACATACTCTTCAGTGTGAAAATGAGAGGAAAAGCCCAGTTAAAAAAACTATGTTAGCACTCAAAAGTAAGAAAGAGTATGAGACGAAAACCACACACACACACACACACACACACACACACACAAATTGTACTTTGTTTTTCAAGTTCAGGACAGCCTTACTCAAGAAACAACAAATCCAGTGATCCAGCCTCATTTTCTGAACATCTAAGCTTACTTATTCTAAAAATAACTACATAGCCTCCCGAGTAGCTAGGATAACAGGTATGAGCCACCTGGCTAAAGAGTAAATATTTCTAATGGCTTTATTTTACCTATCTATCTGTCTGTCTGTCTGTCTGTCTGTTTGTCTGTCTATCTATATAGAAGTGCAAGAACTGAGCCAGGCACTAGATAGAGGGAAAGGAAAAAACTGAGTACACCCAGTGGGATAAAAGAAGAGCCCAGGGAAAATGGCCGGCCACCTCCGGAGGAAAGAGCTCACAGGAGCATGAAAGGTTGGACCGCGCTCTCACGGAGAGCTAACGTCAGTGGAGAACTGGAAATTTGCCCACTGCATTTTGTGATCTAGAAATCACCGTGGACCTTGACAAGAACACTGTCATGAAGATACTGCTGTCTTCATGTTTGTTTCATCCTGGTCTTAGCCAGAAAAAAAAGAGCACAACCCAACATGTTTAGGGGTCGTGGTGGGTCCAGTAAAAATGAGGCTGGAGGTAAGACACACGTTGGTTTATGCAGAGCTCCCTGTGTTTGAAGACTTCCTGAATAAAGGCGACATTTTTCAGATCTCTGACACGATTTCCTATAGGAATGCTGCGCTTTTGAATCTGTTTTTGGAGACCGCCTGCTCCAGGCAACTACAGGTAAATTTCAAAGTGTACTGTTAGATAAAATAGCCTCTTTGAAGAGGTTAACATCTCAGAATACACGGTGGCACTTTTATAGGGGATAAAATACTTAATAAGAAATCCTGGCTCTTGAAGCCCTTGAGTTCTGAGGCTGTACACGCTCCCTCCATTGCTCGTCCTGAGGGGTTGGGTGGGTCCCTGCCGGTCAGCTACATCTCCCGAAGCCTCACTTTGTGGATCTGGATTCAAAGCCAGACCTCAGATCTGGTCCTCCCCACCCCCCACCACCCCAGAAGCAAGTCCTATTCTTCAGAAATCACAAGCAGGTAGTACCAGGGTACAAAGTGCTACATGATCTTAGGAACACACAAAGTCACGTATGACTGACTTGACTATGCACACGGAGGTCTGGTTTTCATACATGTTAGTAACGTGCCCTGAAGATGGATAACAGGTACAGAAGAAGCAGGAAAAAGAAGTAAGTTTGGCAAGCTTCAGCGGTTGATACAAGGTGAGGTTTGATGTGAATAAATGGAAGGCACATCAAGCTAGGCACTGGTGGCTTATGCCTGTGACCCTAGCTACTCAGAAGTCTGAGATGTGAAGATTGAGGTTCGAAGCCAGCCCGGGCATTAACGTCTGCGAGTCTCTTATCTCCAATTAATCACGTGTGGAGCATGGTTTAATTTAAATTGACTCAAGAAGTGATGTTAAGCTTATACAATGTATCTTCAAGAATTACAGTGTAGTTGGCACATGAAAGCTTTGAGCAGATCTAGTTTCTCATAGATATAGGGAAAGAATTGTTTGGGAACTTGAGTCAAAATGGAAGACATGAGCTGCCCACTCCTCAAGCAGAGGTTTGAGCCATTATATGTAGCAGGCATGATGCTATAAAAAAAAAAAAAGTCCAGCCACAGCCGAGTGCCTTGATTCACGCCTGTAATCCCAGCTACTCAGGAGGCTGTGATCTGAGGATCACGGTTCATAGTCAGCCTGGGTAGGAAAACACTCATCTCCAATTAAGTACCAAAAAAGCTGGAAGTGGAGCTGTGGCTCAAGAGTGCTAGCAAGCCTTGAGCAAAATAAACTCAGGGGCAGTGCCCAGACCCTGAGTTCAAGCCCCAGAAACTCGAATTCTATGCCCAAGTTCTATGCCCAAGAAACTCGAATTCAAAGGGGAGTCATTAGAGAATTATGAGAAGTCTGGTTCTCAAGTCTAGCTTGTACCGATGAAGATAAAACACGTGCACCTTGGGGAGACGATGCACACATGCTAAAGCACCAGCCAGCTCCGCGTTCTTACAAAACAGTACCAGGACATAGGGAGAGACCACTTTACCCACAGCCGTGCAGGCTCAGCTCAGGGAAACCTGGCTCAGAACACTCTGGACGAGACCATTTTGAGAATATCAACTTTTGCATTCAGTCAGCCAGTGAGAGCACCCCTTTAATCCGCTGTTGCTTTCCATATATATGTGCCTTATTAGAAAAACCACGTGTGAGTGCTCCCCATGATTTGGGTGAAGGGTGTGCTTCTTCAGTCCATCTCCCTTGTGGGGACGATACACGTCTAAGGACGGAGAGACTCCAAGTTCTCATTACTACAGTTGAATATCACTTACAAGTGAATAAACACCCAGAGAACATTCCTCAGAGATAACAGCCAGGACGGAACATTTTAGCTCTACAACTAAGGAGAGACATGACAAACAGTTCTCCTTAAACCCATCCCAATCAGTTTTTAGAAAAGACATGATCTTACAAGACTCCCTCCCGATGCGTAATGTTGTGACACAAATGTTCTCAGTGAGAACAGTGAGAGGGTTTAAAGAAACTGGGCTGGGGGGGTGCGACTAACTAGAAGGGGTGCAGCCAATTCGGGGACATGGTTAAAAACATTTCATGATTTCCCTAGATGGGAAAAAAAACCAGAACCCACTGGACTGACCTCTCTTGAATCCCTACAGCAAGCCTCCTCTTCCCTTTCCCCTTCCCCCCTCCCATCCCCCCTTCCCCTTGCCTTCTCTTCCTCCCTCCCCCACCCTGTCCACCACGGTCAGCAGGAGCTCCATTCACTGCATCTGGAGGCCAGTCCAAACCAGTCGGCATCTGTTTGTTATTTTGTAGATGTCGTAAAAATATTGCCTTGGGTCAATTAAATTTTTTTCTTCAAAAAGTGAACCATAACCCTGGGCATAATTTCCCCCTTTTTTCTCCTCGAGAAATAATGACAAGACAACTTGCCACTCCACTTAAAATCTTACTCAGAGCGGGAAATGCCGTCCCTCATGGTCACGTGGGACCGTGGCTTGTAATGAATATTGTGGTCAAGGAGGAAGCGTGAATAGTTTCTAATAATTCTCAGCCATTTGAATGCAGAGTAGGGTATGCGCTCAGACTGGTTTTAATTTTATGTCCTATAAAGCAGAGGAGACAATTGACTTGGAGTAAATTACAGCCAAACTTCAAAGCAGACTGATAGAAACACCACTCAGACATTTTTTTGAAGCCTGATGGTTATAATGAGAAGACACAGGTATGTATTGATCACTATCAATGGCAATCTTTGGAATGGTGTAGGAAATAAAGGATTTTGAAATATATTTCATGATTTGCTAGAGAAACAAGATCACGTTAATTATGACCTCTAGCAACTTTTGGTGTTTGTACTGGTCGCATTTTCTTCCTTTATTTTTAAAATTGAGTTAAGCCAACTATCTGTGTTCTTCAAGACCATCTTGTAAAAGTTACCTTTTGAGTCAAATTCATAGTTCGCTAATTTCCTAAACATAGACATGATTTTTGGAGCAGGTATGAACTGCATAGAGAAGAGGGTAGGAAAGCTCGCTGAGAATTTACTAACCACAGGGTATTTTGTGCTATTATGTGGCATTGGGCATTTTGTCCCCAAAAGTTCTTTTCTCCCTACCAAAGAGACTTTCCTCAACTAAGATTTATGATATTGTCTCTCACTATCCCTTATTCCCTCCCTCTGTTCCTCCCCTCTCTTCCCTCCCCTCTTCTCTCCCCTCTTCCCCCCCCCCCAGGGACTTGAATTTAGGATTTCATGCTCTTGGCTTTCTTGCTCAAAGTTGGTGCTCTACCACTTGAACCACATTCCCACTTCTGGCTTTTGGGTGGTTGGTTGGAGATAAGAATCTCATGGACTTTTCTGTCTGGGTTGGTTTTGAACTGTGATCAGATCTCAGCCTCCTGAGTAGTTAGAATTACAGGTGTGAGCCATCAGCACCTGGTTTCATAATAAGTTTCTGATATATACAGCACCTGGTAAAATTCTAAGTGTACTTTATAAACACAGGTGGAAAACCCATGGACAGAAGCTCTCTGCTCATCCCTTGGGACCACTGTGTGGCTTGCGCTCTAACCTCCTGCAGATGCCCTGGAAATGGCCACACCCCAGTGCACCTTTGTTTTCTCATTAGAAGGCTGTGGGTTTCCCAGCAGCAATAGCAGCTTCCGTTCCTGCCCTCCCCCTTCTGTGTGCTGGTGCCCAGCCCTCTCTCACCGCTCAGACAGTCAGGCCCTGTGTAAGGCCTGTCGCACTCACACCGGTAACTCAGCCACAGGTTCATGCAGCGTCCTCTGTTTTGACAGGTTTGCCCTGCACACCAGTCCTTTCTCAGGCAGCCCGTCTGGATGTTTAATGACCAGCCAGGGGCAGTGTTCTCCAGGGTAATGTGAGTCCTGTCAAACAGAATGTCTTGGAGACAGCCGATGAACGGAGGCGTGGATGGTCCATCAGAGACGTTCAGGAGAGAGACGCCATGGTTGGCTGTTCCAGTCGGTAACCCACCCAAAAAAGAGTTCTGGGGAGCACACATTGAGTGATTGCTTTCCAGGGGAGCCCCGACAGTGCATTTCTCCTTACAGATGTCATCGATTAGGGCCAGGGTCACCGTCTCCCCGAACATCACCTGCACCGAATGCCATTCCCCATCACTGGTGGTGTGGGGAAGGGAGAGGTGCGCCTTTGACCGGCTGTGGCCGTGGATGGATAGGTGAATGCGCCCACGGAGCAGCTGCAGCGCCACAGACGTGTCTCCGAGGCCTCGGAACAGCAGCAGGGCATCCGGCTGGACGGTCTGAAACCCGAAGGACAGGTGGCAGGCAGAGCCAGTGGTGTTACCTGTGCTTCCTGGGACCCCCAGGAAGCCGCTGCCATTGAAGGAAAGCGTGGTGACCGTGTCACACACGGCCCCCGCGTGGCCCGCTGGACACAGGCAGGTGAACCCGTGCTGGCCATGCCGAGGTGCGGGATGCACAGCCCGGCATTGAGACACGGGCCACCAGCGCAGCCCAGGAGGGCCTGCGCGCAGTCCTCTCCCCCGAAAGACGGCCAAGAACCGTTAGCAACTGGACAGTGGCACGTGTAGCCCGCCGGCAAGGCCTGGCACCTGCCGCCGTTCTGACAGGGGCTCGATGAACACTCGTCCACGTCTCCTTCACAGTGGATTCCTGTGAAGCAACACACAATAGATCCCAGTTACAGGAATTCAGGAGGAAGACATGTTCACAACATTCTCACACATAGTCTCCCAGCCCGTCAGCCTTAGAACCATAACAGAGTCAAATCAAATCCTCCAAGAGACTTCAAATGAGGGCCATCCTCCCACATGGGGTGGGCTGAGAAGAGCAGTTACGACGTGGAATTCTTCCTCTAAGACAGGTGCACTGCCCCCCATTGCCAGACAGCCAGGGACGGGATAGATCATAAATGCTGCTTCCAAAGGGATCCCAGCTACTAATGACGCACGTGTGGTCTCCTGCCGTGTGACTGCTCTGTCGTCTCACGCCGTTCTACCTGGCGGTGGTGATTTTTGTCTTCTGTCTTGTCTGCCTCCGGATTCCCATGGAATTTCTAATCTCAAATTTTTTTCAGCTACAGATTTGGACATTACACATTTCAGAGCGCACGGGAGGCTTCCCGCACGATGCTAGTCTAACCCCCGGCATCTGTCCCACAACAAACTCCTACTTGCACTGTTAACTTTTTTTTTAATGTCTTTTCCCTAGTTCTAAGACAAAGATACTTAATAATAGAATTATCAGAACTTATTTAAGTGAAGTAGCAAGAAAAATAGTGACCATAGATACAAATGAACAAAGAGCATAAATAACAATTAACCTAGGTAGAGTACTTTCAATTCCCTAACATCCTCATTCAAGTGATAACATTTCTACTTACCCAAATCATTTGAGGTTTTCAAGGCTCATATTCTTAGTTCTTTGTCACAGAGGATTGAGGTTTGGGAAGTGCAAAGTCTAAAGTCCTTAAGCATTTTAACAATTTAATCCTAAATTAAGTAGGCTTTTAAAAATCCATCTTATTTTCCCACTTTATTCTACAGTTCCATGGGTGCTTTTGCCAATGGTAAACAGCCAGGAAGCATGGTCTTAAGCACACTTTCACTTTCTAGGCCTCAGTTTCCTCATCCACAAAATGGGATTCATCACAGCATTTATGCCACAGAGCTTTGATAAAGATGATGTGACACTGCTCACAACAAATTGTTCTGTAACAAGTTCTCAGTAAGTGTCCGTCGTCAGTAAGAAGCAATAAGCCAAAGAATAACCCTCTAGTGACAAATTTCAAGTAGTACTTGGCCACTAAGAGAGAAAAATTAGAAAGTGTAAGCACATACAGTGTCCCATAAATTGTAAATTTTTCATAAGGAGAGACTTATATAGATAACAAATTAGTGCAGATTCTCTTGAGATGAGAGTTACACGAATAAATAAATAAAATGCTTGTTCTGTTCTTCCTTGTATGTCTTAACCACAATTGAATGCCTAGAAAGTGGTCATGATTTTTTAAAAATGAAATGATTCATGGTGGCATTCTTACAGTATTAAATATTATATAATGCATTTAATCTGATCCAGAGTTCAAAGTTCTCTTCTTACATGGACTTCCAAGTTAACTGAGGTAATTTAATCACTGACTATCTACTGCCATTTATGTCTCACACATTTAGACTCTTAATTGGACCTACTGGACTTCTAATCTCTATTTGGATAACTTTCACACAACTATGGTTACAGAAATTAAGCAAGCGCTGTGGAAATAGTGATCGTAACACAGCATTAGTGACACATGTTATGAAAAGCTGATGAATGGAAAGAATAGAGATGAAAATGTGCTGCTCTGTTACTCCATCATCTCGATAGATACAGAGAACTGGACTTTCAGAAACTACAGACAAAACTGAGTTCTAAAGGAGCATTCCAATGCATGTTTAATTTAATAACTGATGCTGTGAAAAGTTTAAACTTACTTACTAGAGGGTATGCTGCTTAAATTTGATTTCTACACTATTTGGAAAAAATATTAATCAATAAGCACTCAGAGAAAATTCAGCTGGGAAGAGTCGCACATTTTTGTCATTACAATCTTTGGTAAGAAGATCACAAGTTCAAAGCCAGCCTGGGCTATGATGCAAGACCTTGTTTCAAAGTAAACAAATAAATCAACAGATATAAAAACAAGCAAACAGAAATGCGGCATTTCCAATAACTCATCATAAGCAGAGTAGACTGCTGTGTGTTTCACAGTTAACGTCTTGAGTGGGGAGATTTTCTTTGCCTCTCCACCAGATCCCATGATGACTTCTTTGCTCACATGTGGATAATTAAGCCCTGAGCACTTATAACACACACAAATACACACACTAATTAAAATGGTGGGTCACATAATGCAACATAGAATCAAATAAATCTTTGCCAGGTCAACTTCAGGCTGTCATGGGAGGGCCAAGGCTGGGAAGTTTCTCCTGCCTCTTTCTCTACCTCAACCGTCTCTGCCTCCAGACCACTGAGTGTTCTGGCTCCTGGGTCACGAGAATTTGGAGAAAAGAATTCACAGAGAGAACAGGAAGTTTTTGGCCACGGGGTGTTGATCTGTTCCATGTCCTCTGAACCTGGTGGAGACTTTAATGTTGCCATTTCTGAGGACCTTGGGATCTCTTTATGCTTCTCCAGCTGAGGCCACTTCACCCGGGTGACAGGCAGGTGGGGGGGGAAGGGAGGGCGCCTTCCCCGAGACTGCTCATGGCTGCTCTCTCTCTGCTCATGGCTGCTCTCTGCTCTGCTCATGGCTGCTCTCTCTCTGCTCATGGCTGCTCTCT